GCTCGCCTTGCAACTAAAAGATCCCCAACATCACCTTCAAGCTTTTCTTTTTCACTAACCTCCTCCAACCCTGACATGTCGTCATATTCACCTTCACTTTCACTCACCACCACTCCATTGTCCGGCAACAACATTGCCATTTTGTTTGGGCATTGAGAAGCGATGTGCCCCGACCCCAAGCATCTAAAATACTTGATGTCTCGACTCCTTGATGGTTGTGACTCCAATTTTGGTATTGTTCTGCTAGCACCATCATCTTTCCCCTTTTGCCAATCATTCCTACCTTTAGGTACAACACTATCACCTTTGTTGTTATCCCACCCCGATCTCCAAGATGAATTAGAACTCTAAGTACCTAATGGTTGCCAAGTTGTTCCCTTCCTCGTCAATTGTCTCTCCACCTTCATGGCTACATGCAACTTATCTTCTAACTCCACATAATGTTGCAATTCCACTACGTTAGCAATTTCCCTATTTAACCCATTCAAGAACCGTGTCATAGTAGCTTTTCGATCCTTAAACACATTTGCCCTAATCATAAGTATCTCCATCTCCTTGTGGTAATCCTCTACACTCTTCGACCCTTGATACAAGCTTTGCAATTTCTGATGGATCTCCCTATAATAGTGACTAGGATCAAATTGTTTTCTCATCAATGTCTTCAACTTCTCCCAAGTACTAACCGGTCTTCTCCTACACCTACGTTGTAAAGTAACCACTTGATCCCACTAAGTTACTGCATAGTCAATGAACTCTAGAACCTCCAACTTCACCTTCTTCTCTTCCGAGTAGTTATAACATTCGAAAGTCAATTCAACCTTTCTTTCCCACTCCAGGTACGCCTCCGAGTCACTTCTCCCTTTAAATTGTGGAATGGTCATTTTGATGTTACCCATGTTTCCATCCATCTCATCTCCATTATTATTCTTACCCCGTCTTTCAAACCTATCGCCTCTATTCCTCATCCACCCCAAATCAACGTCATTATCCTCATACTCATCCAGATCACTATCATATTCCTCATGCCTTATTCTTCTAGGTTCTCGCCTACCTGATTCCCTAGCATTCGACACCTCTACTGGTTGTCCTCTACTAAGATTAGCAATCGATGTATCCAACCTAGTCATCCAAGCTTCCTGGTTTATCCTCCAAGCTTCCTGCTGATCCAACCTATCCCTCACATCTCCAAACGCACTTTCAAATCATCCGTTGCACTGTTATGATTACTGCGTCGGCTTGAATTGGAATCTTCTCGTTCAGACATCCTAAAACTAGAAATTTTATCTGCCTCACCAGTATTCACTCGAAAATCACACAATATGACATTTTCCCTCTATTAATCTCACTAATCTGCCTTTTACTACTCAATGTTTTCTTCCAAACGCTTTAAAGAACAAAGTGAACTCGAATAATTTTAAACTCGTGGAATTTCCAACTGAATGTGAACCAAAGATTGTGAAACAAAAGGACTCGAAGAATTTGTAATAAAATTGACCCGACTTTGATTGAATGAAAGTAACCAATGTGACTCGACAAAATAAAGATTGTTGTAGTAAATTGAACAAAATAATAAAATAAATTTTTTTTTGAACAGTACCGTGAACATTAAATTTTTTTAGACTTCTTTTTTTTTTTTTAAATTCTGGAATAGTAACTTTTTTTTAAATTTTTTAACAAAAACAATGAATTAAACTATCAACAAATTAAACAAGATGGTTTTGGATGCTAGAATAACCCCAAAACAACGTTGACAAAATTTGACGATAATTTGATGGATTGAATACTCAAACAACGAAGAACACAAGAATGGAAAACTAACAAAAATGCAGAAAAACAAAGAACAAAGACTCAACAAATAAAACTAAGGACATAACCTGTTAAATTGGAGCATGTGCTCTGATACCAACTGATACGAACACTGTAGCAACATTGACTACGAAACCCAAAATTATATTGCTAGAACCCCAGAAAAGCCAATTAAGAGGTTTGAGAGTTCGAACCCGAATCAATGAACCAAAAAATCCAACAAGATCAAAGCTTGAAAGACCCTTTGATTACACGATTAAGACCCGCAACCGAATTGTAGAATGCCACAAGATTGTAACTCTTGATAAGTTCCAATTGTTCAATGAAGAATGATGTGAAGAAAGCAAATTGCCTCTCTTTATTGAATTCTCTCAAAATAATGTTGTGTAATGTTTTACAATGAAAATAAACTTATTGATACGTAGAAAATCTAAAAACTAATTCTAATAAGAATAAAACTCTAATGAAAATCTAGAAAGTAATTCTAATAAGAATAAAACTCTAATCCTAACTTAAAACGGAATTAAAGATTACAAGAATATTGTCTATAATAGAATTCTAATGAAATAAGGAAAGTTCGCGCAAAAAAAAAGGAAAATTCTCGCCAACTGTGCGACCGCATAGTTGTTATTTTGGTCTTTGACTTTTGTTACTAGTATCACGTTGATCCAATTCACTTCGACTCTCGACCCCAACATGAAAGTTGCCTCATTTTGCGTCCCGAACAATGTTTTGTCAATTATTTCTTGAACAAACAATCTCATCACTTGTTTCACTCATTTTACCCTCGATTGCGTCATTGGCCCGCCTTCGATTATCAACGGGTCTCTCTCCACACTTGTCTTCTTCAAACTTGACTCTTGGATAACATCAAGGGAAAATTGCAGCCAAAGTACCAAATCTTTCGTCTATTAGCAGAATTTGCCCAAACCTTTGATTTGTGCCACCGTGAGTACCAAACCTTTAAAAAATATGCAGCTCAAGTCCAAAATGACGGTTTCCGTCTGTTTGACCCTAAAATCTGTCAGTTGACCCCAGAAATTAAAAATCTGATTATTTTTCCCAAATACAGCTAGGGCAATTTGGACATATCTCATTTTTCCTATTAACTTAAAAATTAAAAAAGCAAAAAGGAAAATCACAACCCCCACCACAACTCCTTCTTCCCCAACCTCGTCTCCCCAAAACCAAACCTTCTTCTTCCCCAACAATGACGTAGTTTCACATTAAGAGCATAGCGGATTGTATGATTGGATCTGGTTATGGAAAAGAATGCGTTAGAATATACGATTTAATCAGAAAATCAATAACTTATGAGAGTTTGTATAATTTGGGAGTTGAAAAGATAAACCCTTCTCAAATTCAGAAAATGGATTGGAATGTTCTTGGAGCGAAAATCAAAAGCTGGTTACACGCTGTCAAAATTGCTGTGAAAAATCTGTTTTACGGCAAGAGGATTCTCTGTGATTCAATCTTTTCTTCCTCCAAAAAAATTACAGAATCATGCTTTGCAGAAATCTCGAGAGATGCAGCAATTAATTTATTTGGATTCCCAGAAAATTTTGCGAAATCCAAGAAAATATTATCCCAGGAGAAAATGTTCCGCGCACTTGATCTCTACGAAGCAATTTTAGATCTTTGGCCAGATATTGAAATGATTTTCTCTTACGGTTCATTGTCGACGGTGAAATATCAGGGGGTGGTGATGTTTGATTTTAAGATAACGTTGGGACCAATGTTGAGTTAGTGGTGCTAGAGGTGGTTTTAGGTAGTGCTGATGCTTAGTGCTTTGGGGTGAGGGGTTTGGGGAAGAAGGAGATGGAGATGGAGATGGGGTGGGGCTGGGGGGGTTATGGTTTTTCTTTTTGCTTTTTTAATTTTTAATTTAATAGGAAAAATGAGATATGTCTAAATTGCCCTTACTGTATTTGGGAAAAATAATCAGAGTTTTAATTTCTGGGGTTAACTGACGGATTTTGGAGTCAAAACAGACGGAAACCGTCATTTTGAAATTGAGTTGCATATTTTTTAAAGGTTTGGTACTCACGGTGGCACAAATCAAAGGTTTGGGCAAAGTCTACTTATAAACGAAAGATTTGGTACCTTGGTTGCAATTTTTCCTAACATCAATCCATGGGAGATATCCATTTTCCTGGAGAGACCGATAAGATATCTCGACATAGTGGCATTTTGATACCACCAGGAACAGGAAAACTAAATTCCAAGAAATCCAAAAAATGGAAAAATTGGATCTATGTTCAATGGATCACACCTAGTAAGAAAAAGGGATCACACCTAGTAAGAAAAAGTATTTTGTTTTGGTTCGACTTGTCGTCACATATGAAATAACGGACGGTATAAATTTAGCAACACTTTTTCCCCCGGATCTGTTGCAGGAAAGGGATAGTGTGCAACTTCGAGAATAGCTTAGCCATGATGAGAGGGTGCTGACAAGGGTGATCCGCAATCATGGGATCGACCACTGTCGTCAAAATCTGCACCAAAAATCTGCATGTTGACTGCATGTGTAAGTTTTGGGTGGAAGAGTAGGTGTTTGGTGGCCATGAAGAGATCCACCGTGATGAAGGGAGTTTGGTGTTGGGCTTAGGTTGGGAGTGCTAGAAAAGTGAGTTGCAAGCAGTTTTAGGTTGTGCTAGCGATTGTTGTTGCTTGTTGATTTGGCCTGTTCCTTTGGGGTTAGGGTTGGGCTTTCCATTGATGTGTAAGTCCGACGATTTGGGAGGTGGTATCGACAGCTGGATGGTGTGTCGGTGGTAGGGTCGTTTCTTTGTTGGGTTTAGGTTTGGGGATGGGGCAAGGAAGATGACATTTTATTGTGCTGGCGGCATGTAGTTTCTTTGTTGGGTTTAGTTTTGGGGGTGGGGCGAGGAAGATGATCTTTTATTAAGGTTTTAGTTTTTAATTCTTTTTATTATTACTCGATTTTATTTTAATTATTTTATTATATAAAATATAATTTTACTATTGTAACCTTTTAAAATTTGTCAAAATTAGGCCAATCCTTTGACTATTGGTCAACTAGCAGTTTCCATGTATTTGGACATTAGCTGCATATTTTTTAACGTTGGCACAAATTAAACATAAGGGCAAAAGTTTGCAAAAATTGAAAAGGCTAGGGACCACTGCTGCAATTTTCCCAAAAAAAGTCGGAACCTTTATTTGAATGAAACGGCTACCCATATTAATTTCACAACTCAAACTGAAGCATTCTCCCCCTCTGTCACCTTCAATCCCAGCTCCTGCTCCCCACACTCTGAAATTCCTCTTGGCACTTTTCCCTAATCGAAATAAAGTTCAGCGATTTTCCACTAACCCAACTTTCCATGGCATTTCGGATTACAAAATCATCCAGTTTGCTCTCCTCTGCCTTTATTTTCACCAACCACACTATTGAACATTTCCATATCATGTTCACAACAGGACCAATGTTGAGGATTCGTGCTCAACGCCACATCTCAACGGACCAAACCAGTCTTATTGGTAAGAATTTCAGATCAAGCCCACTAAAGTATTTCCCTGCTCACAAACCATTTGTGTTAATGCCGCATAGATGTGTTACTGTTACCTGGGGGAACAGGAAAAGCCTGTGAAATTCTTTCGAGGCCATAAATGTCAAAACTTTATAATTATGCTTTCATGTTTCATCTTCATTTTACGTATCCATGTATCGACAACCTTATAATGTTGAGCATCAATTCATATCTTTTTTCTGCATTTAGTCATGATTGTGCATGAGAGTTTTATCTGAGTGATGCTGTATCTATCTGAGTATAATAGCAGTTAAAATTTTAATTATGTTCCTTGGATTGTTAAGGGCTAACAAAAACCTCAGCATCCAATTCAACTGCCAACTAGCCATATAATCATCAGCTGCTCATCCTTACTGTTCATTTTCTGTTTCACCAGTATACTTCTACTGAATTCGATTATTAATGGATTCCAAGCATCTTCCATAATTCAAGGAAATAGCTACAGCTGTACATTCTAGAATATTTCTATATTCTCATTGTAATGCATATATATTCATCCAGCTGAAGCTGAAGAATACACTTGCAAATTATCATTCAACATCCATTACATTTCTAACTTGGATTGAGTTCTTTTAGTTTGATATCTATTCAGATTTACTAATTCACATTAAATTTATTCTTTGAATTCATGATAGAGTGGGATGATGCTAAGACAGATGGCCAAGAATTTCGGAAATGGTACAATGGAGGTGGCATGTTTCATAAATTTTCTTGCATTGATCCAACTGCTTTTATAGGAACCGGTGCATTGGTTCATTCAAAATCTGTTGTGGCAGCAAATGCATACATTGGATCAGGAAGCATTGTTGGACCTGCTGTTACAGTTGGTCAATCAACAAGACTAGGGTAATTCATTTATTCTGGAGACAGTTGACACTTCGACCGAGTATATATATATATATATATTTTTTTTTTTTTGTAAGAGTCAATACGTTCTCGTAATGTTTGCCCATATGCAATTCAAACTCTCCTATCCCCCATAACTGTGTATATCTCCTTCTGTGCACAACAAATGTGCCCAAGAGGCACAAGAAATACATCCTTTTTTTCTCTATGCATATGCACGCCTGAAAATGAGTTAGCCTAGCTTACATGGACAGGCTTACATGGACCCTTCCATTTAAGCTTAATTACCCATGCTAGACTCTAGTTACTCAGCCTCAGTTATTATATTTCGATCCTTGCATTTTAAGCATAAGACCTTAGGCTTTTGGTTAATCTATGCTTGGACATTTGTCTGTGTTCAGCACCAGTATTGTACATAATATAGGAGGCAGCGATAAAATTTTATATAAAATGAAAGAAAATGAAACCAAGGCCATCATTTTTTTTTTCTTCTTCTTTTTTTTTTTTTTTTTTTTTTTTTTTTTTTTTTTTTTTGCTATAATTATTTTATTTACAATATTTCATATTTCAATAGATCATTATCTACTTTGATTGGGCTTTCACATATTGTCCAGGATTCCCCACTGACCTTGGGATTTATTTGCTCCAGGTATAATGTTGTACTCACCAATTGCACAATTGGCGATTTTTGTATTATTCACAATGGTGTCTGCATTGGTCAAGATGGTGAATCTGTCACGCTGCTAAATGTCCTTTATTTCTGGGAACTAGAACTAATTTATGATTTATACTCCTCTATTATTTGTAAACATTTTGTTGGGCTCTAATATTACATCTTATATGCCATAAACTGTTATTGTAAGTGCATAACACCAATATTTCAAATGATATCATCTAATTGAACATTGCACTATCTCTTTCTTGCAGGTTTTGGGTTTTTAGTTGATGAACAAGGGCACATGGTGAAGAAGCCTCAAGTTAGTTATAGTGGACAATTTCCTGTTCAAATGTTGTTTTAATTTTTTAATAAAAGTTTACTACTTTCTTGGTTCATTAAAGTCATAAAATCCTACTTTTTGATAGTTGATATGCATGTGCCTTATAGTAGTAAACTTGTGTCTATATGAGTACGTTAGTCATTGTGATTACTAATAACTGCTTCAATTGCACATCTCTTTCTTTCTTCTTCTCCATCTTCTTCTTCTTCATTTTTTTCCTTTCTCTCTTTTTTTTTTTTTTTTTGTCTGTATATGTTGTGCTGTTGTTCTTTTATTTTGGCGATGGGTTAGGTTGGGTTCGGGTTTGAAATGGAGTGGCATTATACTTTGTGTTCTTTAAATGTTATGCTCTTCTTATTTTGAGTACATCAATAGAAACCTTCAGCACTCAAGTATTTCTATATCTATTCATCAACCGCTATAACCTTTCCTTTTCTATTTCCAGAACCTGGAAGCAAGGATAGGCAACCATGTAGAAATAGGAGCAAATACATGCATTGATAGGGGAAGGTAATAATTGTTATGACTTATAATTCTTTGATACTGCTATTTTCACTTAATTTTTCAAAATATAACTGCATATGCTACTGCTTATCATTTTGGGACATACAGTTGGCGAGATACTATAATAGGGGATCACTCAAAAATTGATAATCTGGTTCAGGTGTGATTTCATTTGCTAGCCGGTTTTTAACTCATTCATGGGTTCTAGGCATTTGATGTACTTCACTTTCTAGGTAGGTCACAATGCTGTGATTGGGAATAACTGCATAGTTTGTGGACAAGTTGGCATTGCTGGTTCAGTGACGTATGTTACACTTGTTTTATTTCCAAAATTTATCATTAACTTTGTAGGTGTCTGATTTGACTTCATTTTGAAGTTTGGCCAGCTATCGCTATCTAAAACTTGGATTCTTTTTTACTGTCTTTTATTTTCAGGATAGGAGACTATGTCACTTTAGGCGGAAGAGTTGCAATTCGTGATCATGTCTGTATTGCATCAAAGGTATTATACAATTGTGGGCGTAGCCTGCTTGTTATAGACTACTTTCATACAACTTCATTTTGTGCTCTCACTTTTTAACAAGCTCCGTAAATTTTGATTATAATACTTGAGATTGTTCAATTGAATCATATCGAACTCAATAGGTAAGATATACATTATGATGTTGCAAAGTAATCATAATTCCAGAATTATACTCTATAAAGACTAGGATTATCTTTATTGGCTCGCATGGATTCACAAATTTTGTGACTGTGCTGTACTCATATTAAATGTGGATGTACGACTACGTAATTTTCGTTATGTTTTTATTTGATCTAAGCAAGTATGTGGCTTTCACTTGATTTTCGCTTGTGCTTGAGAGAGAGAGAGAGTTGTTAGCATTATCTTCAATTTTCTTTTTGGGTTTCATAAAAAGATATTTTTGGCATTTGTCAAAAATGGGTAGATTCAGCGGTTAAAGATGCCAACTGCCAACTTTCATTCATCCTAATAACGCAAATTATTGTATATATTATGTTCAAAGATATCATACAGTTTTTCTTTTTCCATATATATATATTTTTTTCACACACACAAATTGAGACCGCGATTTGAGTCCAATATCATAATGTTGATACCAACCAAATTGATGGCAATGGTTCTGCAGGTCAGATTAGCAGCTAATAGCTGTGTCACCAAGAATATCAATGAATCTGGGGATTATGGCGGGTTCCCTGCTGTAAGAATTTCTTTTACAAGTTATTCATATCTCTGATAGATAAGTTTACTTAATGAGTATCGGCAAGAAATATTCTTTTCAATTATTCCCTTAAAATTATTTGAGTACTCACTTCAGAAGTTCCTATTGCTGTCACCACAGATTCCAATTCGTGAATGGCGTAAGCAAGTTGCTACTCACCGCCGGACGTTGAAGTAAGAAAACTACTTGTGAAACCGATCAAAAAAAAGAAAAAAGAAAACTACTTGTGAAATATAGAAAATTTGGCTTCATTTGAGCTACTAAATCCAAGGACCTGCCAGAAAAATATTGCTTAGAACAACTTTCTGATTGTCAGTGTCCTGTATGTTATTTTCCTTGTCCAAGGGCCATTAATTGAGCCTTTTACTTGCTTGTTTACAGGGAGTTCGCGGGATCTAAGTATTTTTAGCTCAATCACTTGTTATGAATTTACTCAAGTTGACCAAAAACAAGAACCCAACATACAGGGCTTGACCTTTTGTTTATATGTGTGTGTGTACATGTATATACATGAATGATCTCCTAAGTATCGATGACATGGTACATCATTTAATTGGTGAATCATTAAATACATGAGACCTACCATTAACTTATTCACCAATTAAATAGCGTGTTATGTCATCGGTGCTCAGCTTATATTAAGTACCGATGACATGGTATATCATTTAATTGGTGAATTTTTAAATACATGGGACTCTACCATTAACTTATTCACCAATTAAATGACGTGTCATGTCACGGATATTTATATAGCATAAACACCATCAAAGCCTAAGTGGAGTTTTTAGGCCTCCGATTCCACCTCTACAGGGGGGTGGGGAGATTGGATTCTTTGACCCTGTTTTATAGATTCTGACTGGAGGGGGACATGACTACCTTTGCTCGACCTTTATTATTGACCCACACAAATATGTGAAATCGTTATTCTTTTCTTAATTGTTGATAATAAATATGATTCTCCTTTGAAAACTTGGATATTTGAACGGGTGGTTCAATTGTTTTTCTCCCTCTTCCGCACCATTGACGGCCCCATATCGGCGGCTACCGCCACCGTGTTGCCTCGCTGCTACACCAAGTTGTACTAAATCATCAAATTGTTTTTCATTAATTGATGTACTACTGATGTTTCTTTCGTAGTGTTCTGGTGTGTCGGTAGTGGTGGTGCTGTGGCTCTTTAACATTGTTGAAGCTGGGGGTGGTTGGGGAGATTAGGGATGATACCATAATTTTCTTCTCTTTTATTTATTTCTTATTAAAATTACATATGTTCTGTTCATTTTATCCTCATAACGTTGTCCGACATGCCTTACATATGCCTTTTTAACACCAAATTTGTTGAGAATAATGGTATTTATTTTGATATCTTGAGACACTATATTGCAATTTTCCCATTTGTACATTGTACATTGTGTAAACTTCTAATCATATTGAAGACAATTTTAACAAATAAAGTGATTTAAGTTTTTTATTTCCTAACAAAGAATACAAACTATTTGAATCATGCATTTTATTATTTCGGCATGTTTGGTCATGTTAAAATATCGATTTTAAGCATAGCCGAACATCCTGTCTGTTATTATACAGAAAATTAGATAAAATAAACTTGACACCTTTTATCTCTATCAGTAGTCAATAACGACCCATCTGCACCAACAGCAACTGGGCAAGTAGCACGTATCCTATGGTGCTTACTTTCCCATGTCGATATTTTGAATCGAATAGTTGAAGATAATTCGATGCTGAAAGCCACTGCTCCTCGCGAATGATCCGCCATGAACTGTCGCCACTGACCAGCCGTCACTCTCAAGGAATTACCACCAAGTATTCCGGCCAGAATTGTCGTGTTCTTTGGCTCTTGATAGAAAGGAAGTGCCAATGTTTCTCCACCTATACTTTGATCCTGGTAATTCACCGTCATCTGAATTGCATCGTAATAAAACCCAAAATTCTGGTTAGAATTACGGGCCGTCACATTGAAGATTATCTTAGCATTCGCAAATCCGTTTTCTTGTCCTAAACCCGGGATTGATAATTCTCGTACGAAAAATCTTGGCCGATGAGGACGCAAACTGAGCCATAAAACGAATGTGATAACCCCTACAAGAAATAGGAGGGTTAAAAATATGGCACAAATTAGCTTGGAAACTCTGGTGGTTAGATTTTCTTTCACCCGGTGGGCATAGTAACGCGCCGTGTGGTGCCGCTTCATGGGGTGGTCTCCGGCTGTGGATCGAACGGGTAGTTCATTCTGGTGTCTCATTTTTACTCTTTCTGGCTGCTGGTAAAAGGTAAAAAAGTTTATGGTGTTGATGAACAGAGTTCATTTTGGAGAGAAGCTATATTTATGTAACCATTAATGGGTTGCTATTGGAATGTTTTTGAGTCTTTTGCAAGTGGAAAGAAAAGAATAATTTGTTCATGTTCATGTGCAGAAAAGTTGAATAGGAATGAAGATTAATGAAGTGCTGTATTACTTGACATTCAAGAAAAGAAATGGTTATGAAGAAGGTGTATGATGCTAGTTAACTTGCACAATAGGTACAGAATATATTACCTATGATTTATGGAAAGTATATTTTATTTGTTTAGCATCTATGACCATGATAGTCTCAAAATGAGTTACCGGCCTAGTAAGTCCAATATTATTTTAAATCATCTTGTCTTAAAATCTAAACTGGCGAGATATGAGTATTTATTCATTTAAATATTATCTTTATCATGTCCCTCACATAGACATTAGATTTATTATTATTATTATTATTTTATCAAGACATGCACAATTTTCATAAAGTGTGGCGTAACACTAATATTTAATTTTTTTATTTTTTATTTTTTCACTTTCTATTAAATTGTTAGAAAGAGATACATATACTTTTAAATCTTGTCTTTGACTATAGATTTGAGCATGTTTGGATAAGTTAAAAAATAAGCGAACTTAGGTCATAGACAAGTAGGAAGATGATGCTTATAGTGGAACAAATTTTTGTACTAAAATTTAAAAGAAAACGACTAACATGTTTGAAAGTAAAAGTAACTCAAAATAATAAATTGTTTCGTATAAATTTCAAATGAGAATGTTATTCCTATTATTAATTACCCAAATTTAGGGACCAGCAATTTTCATCCACTATTTTTATATATTCATCTACTTTTTTTAAAAAAGAATTATAGTACATTTTTAACCTCAAATAAATTTACTTAAATAGACAAAAAAAAAAAATAAATAAATAAAGTAAAATATATCTTCTAAATCTATCCATTTCAAGGTATGACGGACATCACTTTATATATCTATACATCCACACCGAGACTTAATGCTATGATATGCCAAAAAAAAAAAATGAAGGTTCTTTTAACAGTGACGGCGTTTCATGTTCGCCAAAGCCACCACTGACCTTGACTTTTCGAATTCCATAGCAAAGATCTCCATTTTTCGTAATGAAGGAAATTGTTGAGATAAATGGAAATTTTGAGGGCATAGACTTTCTCATCATATCATCAACGTATAACCATATTACTGTTGTTATCACAAGTCTCAACTACAGCTACATGCCAAAATTTTTAGGTAAAGAATTATTTAATCATCCCATTGCTTTTTCAAAATTTTCTCCTTTATCTACCCACCAAATTATTATTTAATGATAATATACAGAGTTGGCCCTGACAATTAGAAGGCTTTAAGTGAATCGGCAATTCTTGAGGCCCCATACTTTGTTTTTCTACATGTATAACAATATTTAAATAAAAAATACGTATCTATACTTAAATGAAAACTTTGTACAATATAAAAGATTTGCTAAATAAAATATCGCTTACAATCCGAGAGATTAGGTTAGCATCATATGTAGTCTTCTCACATTTTGAGATGCAAAATTAGTAATCAAACAATTCAAATCAAATTTTTTCAACATTTTTTTTTTCAATAGAAATCATAGATAATATATTCAACATCTCTTGCGACATGATTGATCGAAGATAAGACTTAATCAATTTTAATTTTGAAAAACTTCTTCAATGGACGCAATAGTTACTGGGATAGTTAGGGATGGCATTTCGGCTTGCCGGTTCGAGCTGCCCGTGGCTCGGCTCGAAAAAAGTCTGAGCCGGCTCAGCAGAGCAGAGCCAAGGCTCGGGCTGAGCTCCATTCAAGGAGAACGGGCCAAGCCCGAGCTAGCCCGCAGACCTATTAAAAAAAATGGAAACCCCCCCAACAAAAAGCTGCCTGGCTGCCTTTTAAGGCAGCACCGCCTGGCTGCCTAATTATTAAATTAAAAAAAAGGCATAAAAAGCGAGCCTACCCTGCTCGGCTCGGCTCGGCTCAGCTCGGAAAGGCCCGAGCCGAAAGCTCGGGTCAAGCCTAATTTTTTGGCCGAGTTTTAGCTATGTTCGGCTCGGGCTTGAAAAAAAGCCGGCACATTTATACCCGAGGCGAGCCCAAGCCTTGAGTTTCGGCTCGCAAGTCGGCTCGGTTCGGCTCGTTGACCTCCCTAGGGATAGTCAATAATATCCTGTAAGTGATCCAAGCATTTGCAAAACAACAATTCATTCTCTTAATATAATCTAACAATTAGCTGCTCAATTAATTTCTATAGATATTGCTTCCCTTAAAACTTTCAACTCGAAATATAATTTCATTTCATTTCATCGATATCAGATATTGTGTTATGCTTCAACTAATTTTCAAGATTAATGCAACAGGGCTTAAATGTAGCATCATCAATGGATTTAAGCTTTTCCAAATCAAATAAAAATCCCAAAATATTATCATATTCCTGAAATTGTTTAAATCTATTTTGAAGCAATGATAGAGCTTGATCTACTACATATAAGAAATAATTGGCCCTGAAAGATTCTTCAACTATTTCTGTCATCTCTTCACAAGAAATCTCATCAAACTGCTTCTTTCTATGTATAACTTTTTTTTCACGAAATATCAGTCCAATGTCTAATTCACTTGCAATCTTTTTAGCATCAATCACGGCCGATTCAAACCCAGTTTCTCTATAGCTTTTGAAAAAATGAAATGAGCCCTTTTAAATGGTCTATAGCAACGACAATATGGATGTCCTCTGTTTCCAAATGTTTGCTTACTCTATTAATATTATTCAACACTTCATACCAAATAACCATCTCAAGTAAGAATTCAAAATTCTCTATTTCATATGTTGCCAAACACTCCACCTCACTTTTTGTCTTAGGATCATCAACTCTTGCCAATTCAAGTAGAGTATTTCTTATTTGTGGAGCTTGAGATCTTATTGCTCTAATACTTTCAACATGACTTTCCCAACGTGTTTGAGACAAAGGCTTAAGAGTAAGGTCATTTACATTATCTTTAAAAAATTTACATCTTTTAGTAGATGATGAAAATAAAGTGTATATACGTTGCACCACTCCAAAGAAAGATTTAGCCTTTGTACAACAAGTAGCCTATCACAAAGTGCAAGATTGAGACTATGACACCCACAAGGAGTGTAAAATGCTCTAGGATTTACTTTTAGTAGTCTATTCTATACCCCTTTATGTTTTCCTTTCATGTTAGCACCATTATCATATCCTTGACGCCTTATATTATCGATATCAAGCTCTAGATTATTCAACGCATTCACTAATTCATGAAAAAGTCATTTTCTAGATTTATCATCCACCAATAAAAATCCTAAAAAGAATTATTGTACCTTCGCTGGACTTGCTGAAATATCAACACACCTCAATATTATAGAAATTTGTTCTTCGTGACTCAAATCTGGAGTGCAATCAAGTATCACAGAAAAGTACTTGGATTCTTTGAGTTTCTCGATGATTATTTTCTTTATTTCACCCGCTAGCATAAGTATCAACTCATTCTGAATTTTGTGTCCAAGATAATGATAATGAATTTCTTTATTTTGAATTTGACGAATATGCTCTTGCATTACAAGATCAAACTAAACAATCGTTTGAATTATGTTTAAGTATATCTTCTCATTATCTCTACGAAAAGCTAAATTATTTTCTGCAAGAGTTCTAACCACTGATATTATTCTCAATAATACTTGTTTCCAATGTTCTATATCCTTATTGATTTGTTCCTGCATACTTTTATCAATTGTTTGCTTCTTTTGAAATCTTATTTCCATTTCGATCCATCTACTCATGTTAGTGATATGGTTAAAACTCACTTCATGTGTTTTTAGTTTTTCACCAATATTTTTCTAATCATTTACACCATCATGTGCCAATTGAGTTTGAACCCCATCATTCTTGAATAGCTTAAAACAAAAACAAAATATTTTATCCAAACTTTTTGAATATATCAATCATTTTCTATCATGATTCTCTCCATTGGGTGATTGTTGAGTGTAATGAACAGAGGAGAAGTGTCGATTAGCTACATCTTTTGGAAAAATTACATCATTATCTCTTACTGGACCTTTCATTACGATTAAATCTCTTAAATTTCGATTCATATTTCCCCAATTCGCTAGATCACTAATATCAAAGGAGAATGGTTCACTAATCTTTTCATTTATGTTTCTTTCATCCATAACATCATTTTATATAGATATCTCTTCATTCACCAAACAATGATGTTTTTCAATTGTATTATCACCGATATCATTCTTATTAAACTCTTTTTCGGGAACTACATCGTCATTATGCTTTTGTTTACTACCACTAAAAAATTTATCAAGGACTCCCTCTTAAGATTTAATCAATTGTTCAACATTCTTATGACGTTTTCTCCAGATTCAAATTTTTTAGTAGACATAATTAAAGCAAATAACAGTAGAACTTGATTCAGAGTTCAAATTAAAAATATCCCAGATTCTCAAATATGTCAAGTGTAGGAGTTCAACAATCAACCTGCAAGAAATAACTAAATAAATTTATCAAAATTTCAATTAAAAACACCTGGTTAGGTTCTAATTAAAAAAATCTTGTTTTGAGAGATATTTTTCGAAGTGGAAAATGATTCAAATATCCCCAACAATATTTACTTAGAATATTCCGATGGCGAATGGCATTTACTAATAACACAAACTTATATAGTAATTTTGATTAAGATACTCTACCATTGAACAACAATATGGCAGAGCTAGGGTCAAAAATTGGATAAATTTATTCACCAAACATGAATAATAAGTGAACAATCAGTCATCAGAAAATGTCTTACAATTCAAGGACGACAAAGAACCAAGGAATAAGTTGAATTCCTTTATGGTCAGATTCTATAAAACAAATTTTCCCCCGAACTCATTTTAACCGGACAATTTCCCAACAAGAAATAACCAAATAAATTTATTTTGCAAAATCTATTCTCGAAATATCTACGTCAAAATAGGCCCTGAAAATTATATCGTTGAAACTTAAAATTAGTTTAAAAAAAAAAAAAGAAGAAATTAGGAGTTCCAACTTCCAAACTAGAAACAAAGACAAGAACCAAGTGAAGAAAATGAGAATTAACTTGGGAAATTGTAACAGTCTAATAGTCAATACAATCATTCCTATATAAAGTTCTGCAACAAAATTTGGGAATTAATTAGAACGCTGATAGAACTAATTATTAAGAGTAAAACAAATAAAAAAAACACACACTATTTTTCATCCCTTTTTCACCATTGAGACTTTGAACAAACTACCACCATAGTCCATAGGATTAATAATCAGACATTCAGTTATATGAGTTGGACATCCATTTTACTTACCAAAACAAAGGACATGATAAGATATAAAAAAGGAATCCAAGCTGCGAGTGGCAGAGAAATTGGGGTTTTTCGCATTAGATTTTGAATTTTCATCCGTTGGCACCAGTCCCCGAAAGTCTGGAACCTGGAAGCTTGGAGTGGAGGCCCTGGAGAATTCTGGATTCACCGAAGCAGAGGATTGAAAGGATTAAAAGAAGTCGAAATATCGAATTGAAAAGATAAAGGCTGGGGCGGTTCGTTGTGTATGTATACCAATTCCAAGTCTCCAAAGAAAAATAATTTCATTAGTCCAAGACTCCAAGCCCAAAGGCCCCAAACCATTTTTCTTATTTTGGGAATTGGAACTAATATGGATTTTGAGGCCTTGGGCCCAAGCCAAAATTTGGAGGCCCTAGACGGTGGCTTAGGTGGCTTGGCCCAAGGGCCGGCCCTGATAACATAGCAATTTTTCCATAAACCCACAAAATATTTTGTAAAAGTTTAAATCTTTCCTTGCGTTTGGGCCTTTGCAAAGAGCCACGTAGTAACAAAATTGCAACTTATGGATATTTTCCCCCACTCAAAAGTGGATTTTCTGCTGAAAAATATCCCTTTTATACTTATAACTCATCCGAGAATTGTATGCAACTTTAATGTGATTCTTTCTTTTCTTTTTTAAAATTTTGTATTTCCATTCAATGCATTTGTTTTTGTTTTGATTATTAAGGTTATCTTTTAGAACTTTTCAAAATAATTGAAACCAGACAAGCACTTTTGTTGACCGTAAAAAATTATGAATTTTATAAAATAATTGTTTAGTAAAAAATGACGACAACTCATGGGCTTGTTTTAATTGGCTGCATTTCTTCTTCTTTTAGTCTTCGTCAAGATCTCTAGTTTATCTATGTGTAGTTCAGTATATTAAAAGTTTGCCCAATCTTGTCTTAGCGTATGGTAGTTTCTTGGTAATTTGTAAATTATTGAGAGAGAAGAAATTTTGATGGCAGAAAATGGGGATATTTGTATTGGAATTTTGTGTGGATGTATAGTTTTAAATTAATGTATGGAACAAGGTTAATATTAGAATAAATGTTGATGAATATTGTATTTTTTTTTTATAAAATTTAAAATTTTAATAGGGATAAACTTAGAGTGTGATAGATATACAAAAATTGTGGATGGAAATAGCAATACCCCAAATTTACTAGAACTATTTATTCAATAACTAATCAAAATATCAAACATTAATACATCATTGATCAATACTATTAGGCACATGTCCTAGTAATTAAATTATTTTGCGATGAAATTCGATAAAGAAATCTTCATACAATAATCAACTATGTCCCTGCAAAAATTGAATGAATTATCATGTTATCACTGAAAAAGAAATTATTGAACAACTAGACTATTCAAAATTGATTGATATTTTTGTCCCTAAAATCGCAAATTAGGTTATATTTAAGTGGTCGTTTAAAACATTTTCATATTATTATTTGATTATAACATAAATATTATGAATATTTTTTCTTTTTTTTTTTTTGGTTAATTTTAAGTTTATAAATTTAGCTCCGTAAAACTCTTCTAAATTATAAAAAAAAAAAATTATTTCTTACCAAATTATAATCCCAAATTCTGAAGTTTGCCTCATGCATGACCCATGAAACACTGGTATGGCCATGCCCAGTTTGATCCATATTCACCAAAGATTTAAGAAAGTCCTTGAGAGATGGGATTTTTTAGAGATTTGGGGGGGGGGGGGGGGGGGGGAAGGGGGGGTGGGGGGGGGCGTGCAGGGGATACCCGAGGGCGTCAAAGTGGGTGATTTATGCGGAATTTAGGTTTACCAATATTTAAAGTAACGAGTCACAATAAATATTTTATCCAAATGAATTCATATACATATCTAACATATATCGAATTGCCGTACTTTGTAGAAATAAATAACAACAATAATAGAAATCCCACGGTGGCCCCAAGTTTTGTACTTCTCCTTAAATACTGTCCAGCCATTGATGTCAACAGACTCTTCTCATCACTTTTTGCCTCTTTCCCAACTCTTTAATCATCAAAATCTCGTAAGATTGGGAAACATCCTACAACATGAAAATTAAGCACATAACAATATAAATCGAGTAGAATAACCAACAAAACCTCGGTAATTAAGTATGAGAAAGTGTGAAATTCAATCTTATCAGTATGTATAAACATAAATAAATAAATTTTAGTAACTTAAACTTTTAAATTAGAAGATAGAATGAAAGAATGATACATCTACTTGATCAGCCAATCTGTTTTCACAAATTTGCTTGCACTAATTGTTGTGTTGTTTGGAGAAAAGAAGTTTATGCTTTTGAAGTGAGTATTCAATACCTTCTATAAATTTCTCCATTTATATACTTGTATTGTGTGGATCGATTCAAACTGTGCATGTACTAAGTAGTAATGCTTAATACCCTTCAACGATACATTATCATGTTTTGACGTATAGATTGAATAAATACTAATGATTTTCTTATGGCTTTAACCCACGAATATCTTATCATTTCCAGCCATTAGAGTCAATCAAGATTCAGTGATAAAATAGAATAAAAATATCACAAAAATCATAATATTATGAAGAAACTCACACATTAATATTCCATGTTATGTCATGAACTCAAAGATACCTGTCTGAGAAAGGTCACAAACAAATCTGTATTCTCACTTAAATATATCATCCAAATAATAAATGAATAAATCGCGAAGTAAAATAGTCAAAGGCACACTGCCAAAGTGCAGCAAGATACCCGGGCTGGTTTTTAGGCATGGAAGAGGAGTGGCCAGATTGGGATGTATAACTTCGTCACTATATATAATACATAAAACCTGTGTATGTCTTTCCCCCTTTTTTTTTTTCCGAACCGTTACGGAAATTTTGGACTCGAACACCATTCATTCAAGAGCTCTTGTAGACAGAGGCCTTTGGTATCTCAATGTCGACTAATCACATCATGGTATTGACTATTGAAAATGTTGGTAACAGACTTATTTGTGAGCGGTAAAGATGGTTGTTTGTGAGCGTAGTTTAAATCACAAATTTATGAAATGGAAATGTAGTACAAAACCACAAAGCCAAATAAGAAAAATAAAATAAGAAGGAGTAGAAATCGAAGATCAAATCCAAGGCAAGTGATAGCATTTTCTCTTTAAGATAATATTGCCCCACTACGGTGCTCACGGTTGACGGCACTTATCTCCTAAGATACAATGGATTTTTAATCTTGTGGTAGTAGCACTTCACACCACAAGAAACGAACCGACTGAATTTCCTCTCTACAAAGGAATTTTATGCAAGAAAGAGGAGGAGAGATTTTGCAAAAGAAGAAGAGTTCTCAATACAAAATATGAGATGATATTTTTTTAAAGGACGTCCAAATGGTCCTATTTATAGGGGAAGAAGGGGTGCAAGTGAAGTAGTGTGGGCCAAACCACACATTTTTTCGAATAGAAGCAACACTTCACTTTCGCTAGCTTTCCGAAATCAAAATTTTATTTTATTTTTCGTTTACTTCCTCCAACTTTTGGACCGCAATTTCTCATTCACTTGAAATTGGTTTCTAATGTTCAAATATACTCCGAACATCTACTCGACGAGTAGAACAAGTTGGCCTATTTACTTTTATAATTTGACCATCGGATCAAGTCCGAATATTTGGCCTAAGTTGACCGCTGGTCACACTTTCCGATTTCAATTTTTTACTTAACCAATTTTTGTTAACTTGGAAACCAATTTCCAACAGAAAATGTCCTTAAAATTCGATTATTTGCTGATACTTAACTTACTGAAGAATCACCTAATTTATTATTTGGATTATTTTACATTTTTTCTAGCAATTGTATGTTAATTAGGAATATAGTTTCGCTCTGCAAGAATTAACGAATTTGCACCTTAGAGTATTGAGAAATTAAAACAAGACTTTGACTAGTTTCTCTTCTTTAAAAATTAGTATTAAATACTATTAAATCATTTCTATCAATCATAGCACAAGTGTTTTAAAATACCAAAATGTCTATAAACGCCTTTATTACATATTTGACAGAAGAGTCTGAATTATTAAATAATATTAAAAAATAAATAAAATAATAATAATATTCTGTACAGTATACAAAACATTTTGTATCAATTCACGATCTTCTACACCTCCTCTACAACCACAATCTTGATTCCAACCACTCCTACTCTCCACCCCATACCTTGATTGTAGATGTGTGACTAAGTGCCTATTCGGCTCCCTTTAAAATTCTAAATTGTTTGTTACAGTATCATTATTCATCACACATTCACATAATAAAATATTCTGTACACAAATCTATAAAATTTATTTATTTTTTCACACATGTTCTCCAAAAAATATTCTTCAAAATTATTAAATTTTTAAAATAATGGGTGACAAATTGGGGTTAAAAGTTGAATTGGGGAGCATGTTGGAGTGCAAGGCGGCGAAATACACGAAAATAGCTCTTCCACTGTAACAAAATTTGACATTAGCCTTTGACACATTAAATGAATTAAAAAAAACAAATTAAGTTAAAAAAAAAAAACTTCACAGTAAAAGGCGATTTTATCCTTCAGACTGTTTGAAAAATTCTGTCTAACCGACCGACGAACAGTCGCCAGAAATTTGACCGATCAACCACCGGCAACTACACCAACGTCACAGTCAACGACCTGATCTACACCAGAAATAAAATAACCGGTTAGTTTTCATCACTTTTTGTTTCAGTAGAAAATTTATTGAATAAGTAAAATTAGCATTTTCCTTACATTATTCGGTTTAATTAGATCCATGAGCATGAGTAGTTAGATTGTGGACATACTGGAAGTGTGAAAATTGTGGATTTTTTACAATTTTTGGAGCTCATAACGTCGACAATGGCGATTTCCGGCAGCCAGTAACGAACAGTCACTTTACCCGACTGGTAACAGTCGGGTGTTAAAAGTACCAGTCAGGTAAACCGACTGTTAAAAGTCGGTTGAATATTTAATTTTTATTTATTTTTTATAATTTTTGTAATTAATTAAATTTTTTATTTGATTAAATAGTAATTATGTTATTTATTTATTTAATTTTTATCATTGTCAATATAATATAATAATTGAAATATTGTAAAATTAACAATGTTGATTCTTTTTTTTTATGAAATTATCTTTAATTTATTTTTTCAAATTTATTTAAATAATATGAATAGTCTTTACATTTTAAAAAAAGGTAAAGTAATTATTTATTTAATTTTTATATTTGTCTTTTATATAATTTAATAATTGAAATATTCTAAAATTAACAATTTTGTGTTGTTCCTTTTTTTTATGAAATAATCTTTAATTTATTTTTTCAAATTTATTTAAATAATATAAATAGTCCTTACAGTTTTTGAAAATGTAAAGTAATTATTTGTTTAATTTTTATATTTGTCTTTTATATAATTTAATAATTGAAATATTCTAAAATTAACAATTTTGTGTTGTTCCTTTTTTTTTTATGAAATAATCTTTAATTTATTTTTTCAAATTTATTTAAATAATATAAATAGTCTTTACATTTTTTGAAAATGTAAAGTAATTATTTATTTAATTTTTATATTTGTCTTTTATATAATTTAATAATTCAAATATTCTAAAATTAACAATTTTGTGTTGTTCTTTTTTTTTATGAAATAATCTTTAATTTATTTTTTCAAATTTATTTAAATAATATAAATAGTCTTTACATTTTTCAAAAATGTATTTAATTTGAAATTTTTTGTTTGTAAATATATTTTCCAAATAATAATTATTTTATTTAATTATTTAATTTTTATAATTTCCTTTTTTTATATAATTTAATAATTGAATACATAATATTGTTCGAAATTAACTATTTATTTTGTTCCTTTTATTGTTCTTTTATGGAAATCTTTGATTTTTTTCAATTTATTTATATAATATTTATATTCTTTAATTTTTTTGACAATATATTTAATTTGATTCGTTGTTTTTTGTAAATATATTTTTCAAATGTAATATTTGTGATTGTATGGTAGTTAGAGTTCGGTTCCTTTGATTTTGTGAAATTATGCTTTCTTTTGTTATCTCTTGTTCAATGCTATAACATTTGAATTTTTTCAGGATGGAGTATCATTTAGATGCAGAGTTGAGACGGATGTCGGGGAAAGCTACTTGGAACAATAGCTTTGAGAGTTTTACTGCTGTGTTGGAGTTGCTCGATGATCAGCACGGAGATATGCTACGACAATCCTTCTAGTGGCCACTGTACCAGTTGCGAGAGGTGCAGTACTCAGGACAGATCATTGATGCACTTCTATGTCGGCTTCTGAGGCCAGTCGACAGCGATTCCCTCCAGTTCGACCTCGGGGGCAAGGTCGTCAGTTTCTCGATGTTTGAGTTTACATTGATCACTGGACTGAGGATTACGGGCGACGATGCAGCCATGAAGAGAAGCAATAGGCTGTACGAGACGTACTTCCAAGGACATGGGTCGGTGCTTCTACCCGACTTGATGGTCGCAATCAGGGAGTGCGACCATATGCTAGATAGATTGAAGCTTTGGTTGGTCTACATCCTCGAGAGTGTGATAAGGTGTCATCACAAGAAGACTGCCATCGACATTTTTCATTTGCAAGTTGTTGACGACATCAATGCATTCAACAACTATCCATGGGGTCGAAGATGCTACGAAGACACCGTATATGTGTTCACCAGATCGCACTTGAGGCCCAAGGGGTCGATGCGTAAATAAGATACATATGGATTGCCTTTAGCGGTGCAGGTAAATGTTTAATATAATCAAAGTTAAAGTTTTAGTGTATTACATTGATGCTTAATAAGTATATGTGTTACAGATTTGGGTGTATGAGACAGTTCCAGTACTCGGGGCCCGCTTTGCGCAGCGAGGGGAGACACGCTGCCCTCGGATGCATCATTAGAGATCATCGCGAGCGGAGGGATGTCCCACTGGGAAGCAGTTATCGGCCCTCATCGACAATCCTCAGGTAAGTATTATATATTTGTGATTTATATTATACGTAGTTTAAAATTTTGTTTACATGATCGTTAAGTAGTTAAAATGTCAATATGTCAGCTTGAAGTCATACCTGAGTTGACGCCGTCGATGGAAGAGGATGCTCGGGGTCTTGTGCGGGATTTAGGCGTTCTGCACACCCCAGACGAGGAGATGTCTGATCCGAGTTTGGACCGAGATTGGGTATGTGAATGAAATATAATTTATTGAATATCGTTGACGTATAAATTTATTGAATAATTTTTCATTTTATTTATGTAGGAGAGCAGTCCAGCTGATCGACAATCACCTCCACCGAGGGCATCGCCGCCACCATTGGCATCATCTCCGTCGAGAGTATCGTCCCCGCCATTGGCATTACCGCCGCTAGTGGCATCACCTCCGTCGGGGCCATCGCCGCCGCCATTGGCATTACCTCCGTCCAGACATCTCCCTCGTGTGTCTCCGGGGCACAGTGATGATTTGTATGCCCGTTTGACTGGATTTATAGCGGAGGAGATCGGGGCGCTACGACGAGATTTGACAGAGAGGGTCGATGATCTGGGACGAGAGTTAACAGGGAGGGTCGACGATATGGGACGAGAGTTGACAGGGAGGGTTGACGATCTATTCCATGATGTTGGAATACTACAATCTTCCGTTGTCGACCTTCAGGATACAATAGCGGTGCTTAGAGGAGATTTAGCCGGCAGACGATGGTGGGATAGAGGGAATGGCGGAGATCATGATCGAGAGGATGACAGAGATGGTGATGGAGAGGGGGGTCACCCACATTTTTGGCGTGATGAGACATTGGAGTCATTGTGGTTGTCTATGGAGGGGGTAGCCTCAATGGGGATGGGAGAGGGGACTACAAAGGGGATGGCCCCGACGAGAGGGGCGGAGGAGGTGGCGACGGAGGGGGAGGCCCTGACGGGAGGGGCGAAGGTGGTGGCAACGGAGGGGAAGGCTCCGATGGGGGGACGGAGGAGGTGGCCCCGGAGGTCGAGAGGACACTCGACGTGATTGAGGGTAAGAGAAGTGCTGTTGATGAGATGGAGCAGGTGGTCGGCAAGAGGTTGAGAGTGCCGTCATAGTATGTGGTTTTCCCCTTCACGGTTGAGGCCAAAAGGAGAACGTTTATCGATGGGACGTACCCGAACTTATTCAGAGAGGTGGACAATGCCAAGTATTGTATGATTTTAATAAAGCACTGTACGCTTACTCATCTACGCTTATTTTAACATTTCCCTATTTTTTACAGAGTTAGCCGCATGATAAGTCAAAGGACGATCTCGGGCCCTTACAAGTAGTTCCACGATATCACCACTGCGGGAGCATAGCTCTCTTCAGCCGATCCCATTAAATCCTCCAACGCACATTCTTTGGCCTTCCACGCTTTCTGGTAGCTCATGACCACTCCGTACTCTCGACGGACATCGTTAATGATGTCCGAAGGCCTGTAGATCGTCCGTGGATCATGATACTTGTGCATTATCTGTCGACCAATAAACTATACTCGAGCTTACCTGTGATCGTTTCGAAGAATTCCCACTTCGCAAGTATGTTCCCGTGAATACTTGTGAATTACGAAGCACTCATTTGTATCCATCTTAGTTGCTCTCAAGCGCCAATTGCAACTGCCTTTGACACAAGCAACTGTCAACAATTACTTGTTTGATTTCTTTATTTTGAACTTAAAGTTATATTTTAATGCCAGCCGGTGCACAGCTTCCTACAAATCTTTCTTGGTTTCAAACAGTTGTTCGACCTGCAAGTCCTCATCATCAAAAGCCACACGGGAAGAATTGGAGGACGGTCCACTTGTTCCAACCTGTGAGCTCCCACCCGGCTCGTGTCTCTGTCGGGATAAAGCAATCAAATTCTCATTTGTAAACTCGTTTTATATTCTCATTGTCTTCAACTGTCGACAGAATTCTGCGCGTAACAGCGACGTCACGATCAGAAGCAACTGTCTCAGGAATACCCACATCATTCGCAAGAACTATCTCCACTGTCTCCCAAAAGCCTCGATCATTGTTATCCGCCCTATCTGAATCTTCGCGTTCACCTTCGATAACATCCTTCGTAATTAAAGTCACACCAAGAACAGTCGAAGTCCGATGCATTTTATTCAATTCTAATAGATAATTCAATTCAGTATCATTAGTAACGAATATCGGTGGCATCAGAATGGATGAATCCCCATAATCGTTGAATAGATATCTCAATTGCATATCGTATTGAGATTGATCGATATTCAGCTTATTTTGCAAATCGTGGTACATTTCTAAGTATGATGTACTCTCTGTTATGGAAATTGCAATAAAACCACGTATGTCACTCGTCCATTTCCATTCCCACCGATTATTTTCATTCAATTTGAAATCACCAAAATAACACAAGGAGATTATCATATCTGCATGAGGAAATGGTTTTAATCAACTTCATTTATTAATTATAAGAAAAAGGTCAACAAAAATCAGTGCAGAGTCGGGTAACAGCCAACAGTCGGCTGTTTAACAGCCGGCTGTTCGACTGTTAAACAGCAAACAGTCGGCCATTTAACAGCCGACTGTTTGGCTGTTAACAGCCAAAACGGCTGGCTGTTTTTGCGCAGGAGAATACGGTTCTAAATTTATACATCTATTCAATTTTTTTTGATAGGTAAGATCTGTTAAAAAAAAATTTATGCTAACTACTATGTTGACATAAAATTTCTCTATTCAAACGTATACTAATTTACTGAAAACGAAATTAAACATACGTAAATATACTTACCGATTTGAAATAATTGATATGAAAAAAATTTCCGGCTTCAACGTTTCAAAGTTTTTCTAGATTTTGAGGTTCAAACAAATGAAGAGATGAGAGTTTTTCCTGTGTTGGAAGTTCGTTTTGAAGTTTTTATAAGTGGGGAAGTGTTTGATTTTTAATTATTAACTAAAAGGGTAGTATAGTCCTTTCAGCAATATATTGTTTTGTAATTATACAAAACATTTAAGGGCATCTTTGTCTTTTATCATACAAGAGGTCAATGTCATAATATTCATGATTTTGGAAGTCAAAGTGGAATTTAGGTCCTTTGATTGGGTCAAACTTAAAAGTACCCCGTGAAGGGCTTGGGGGTGCACGAGGAGATATAAAATTGATATTTTATTAAACTTTTAGTCTTTTGTTTAGAGAAAAATTGACACTTTATGGTAAAGTTGGAGACTTGGTGGAGTATGCCTAGTGCCACAAAGTCCTTTATCCGTAATAAATACGGGTAAACGTTCACCTTGACTATAATAAAAGCAATTATAGATATTTTGATTCATTAATCAATGGTACATAAATACATTCGTTTGATATATACTCGATAATATAATAAATAAGATTTTAAATTTTTTCCTTATTATTATTCATTGTTTATTACAATTAGGTACTATCTGCTAAATAAGTCGTAAAAGTTTATTTCTGAAATGTATATCTATATACATTGAACTTATAAATCGATTCTGTGTTTTCCATGTTAATTTGTACCCGTGGTGGGTGCCCGTCAATTTTCTAAGGACCAAGCAGAAGGAATGGCAAAAAAAAAAAAAAATAAAAAAAATAAAAAAAATAAAAAAAAAAAAAATATATATATATATATATATATATTCTTTTAATTTGCAGTATTTAATTAGAGGGAAAATTGCAACAAAAATACCAAACCTTTCACCTAATAGCCGACTTGATCCAAACCTTTCATTTGTGTTATTGTAGGTACCAAACCTTCACAAAATCCGCATCTCAAGTCCAAAATGATGGTTGACCGCAAAAACTGCGAGTTAACCCCAGAAATTAAAAATTAAAATAATTTTCCAGCAATAAGGCAAGGATATTTTGAACATAACACACTTTTCCTATTAAATCAAAAATTAAAAGGGTGTACTATTTCTTACCGTAGATCTCAACTCACAAGAACACCGCTCAAGAAGCAATATATTAATAAATGACGAATAGGTAGCATAAAACATCAGCAAATTGCAATAAACTCCTCTTAACTGACCCATCATCTCGAGGAGTCTTTTTCTGTACTCAAAATACATTTTCGTTCCCTCAAGCCCTCGCGATACTCACCCTCTTGTCCCTTTTTAGCTTGATTTTTGTTCGGAGTTCTGTCCACTGTCGAGTCAATTATCTCATCACACCGATCATAACAAGAAGAAGAAATATTTTCGTTTTCTCGATTAAAGGTCTGGAATTTCATAAGATTTATTAGAATTGTAACAGTTGAAAATGAAGTTTTTTCCTCTTGATTTTTTTATCGTTCACAACATACTCTGTGCAAGTTGACTAACTGAGGTTCTGTTTGTTTTGATGCATCAGGTGGTGGAAATGTGAGAGTAAAATCCAGATTTGTTATACAAGTTGGTGACACCAACCAGACAACTCCTTATAATTTATTGCACCGGTTAATGAAAATGACCGAAAAACCAAAGGTGGTAAGCATGATTTCTTTGAAGACCTGTTATCTTACTGTTTTATTGAATTTTCAGGTTTCTTAAGCTTTTCTAGAGAAAGTTAATTTATTTTTAATTTGAATTTAGGTGGATTCGGGTTCTGATAGTCTGAGTTCAAACTGTGAATTTGAAGGAAAGGGTAATCAAAATGTTTTGTTATGTGATCGTGTAAATGGATTACAACAGCAAGGGATTGAATCTGATAGCTTTGTGGTTGACATGGATCGCTTTGAGGAAGAAATATATAAAAAGTCAAGAATTAAAGTAAGTTTATTTACTGCTTCATTTTATCTGTCAATTTGTTCTTAATAATTTATTTTCAAATTTCATTTCTTCTCCAAATTCTTACTTTTTAGCCTCGAAATTTTTGTCTTTTGATAATTTCAATTTTGGATAAATTTTCTAAAAATACCAAATTTTATTTTGAAACGTGATAGTTGAAGTTTATTTATTTATTTATATATTTTTCAATTAGTTATTCACTTAAAACGCATTAGCCTTTTTTAATGGAACGGGTTTCTGATATGGCGTCAATGCAAAGGCCTTTCATGTTAAACATTATATTCGAAAAATTAATGAAATTCAAATAAGCGATCTAATTAGAAAAACAAGTAAAGTTCAATGATCGATTTGGAATGAAATAAAGTTTAGTGATTAACAGCGAACATTAACATATATAACTTGAGTAATTATCAGTATTCTTAAAATCCTAAACAAAAAATTTCTATGCAAATAAAAAGTTGCTAAAATACTTTTTTTTTCTTTTTTTTTGGGGGATTAAAATATACTTGTTCTTGGACTAAAAGTTGCAGAGAAACCTTTCGAGAAAAGGATCGCTTAGTCGAGGCAGCGAAAAGAAAATTAACCAAAGTACAAGCAACAATATTAGAGACACTAGCTTGGTTGCAAACTCGCCACGAGGTAACAATTTATTAAGTTCCATTTTTCTCATCTCCAATGAACTTGATTAATTTGCATGTTTATTCGTGATTTTTTCCTAAAGAAAGTGTGATCTCACATTCACTCAATAAACATGGCTCGGTGAAGGAAAAAAGCCACAAGTACAGGGAATTTTTGACAGAATTCTTATCGACGTCGACATGGTCACAGATGATTGGATTATTTTTTTGTTTTCTTTATTCATCTTCCAAATAATTCACTCCACGTATTGTCTATCAACATTTTCTGTCAAATTTTTCTGTACTTGTAGCATGATTGCTCTATGAAAGCATATATGATGATCCCGATTAAATATATTGACAACGACAGCGACGAATTAAGTTTCTATTTTCAATAATTTTAGGATAGTCGCAAGTTCATTCTGAATTGAACGTATATTTTAGGGCAACATATTACCTCTTCTTATCTCATAAAACAAAAACTAGAGTTTTGCTGAGCTCGTGACAAGCAAAAACACCAGAAAGCAAGACCTACCAAATTAGGTAGAGTCTATGTCCAGAGTCGAGCTGTATTTGAGGCCTATTAGAGCAACCGAGTCAATGTCGAGGGAACGTGCTAAAACGTGCTTGAACTACACCTATATATGTAGCTAATTCTTTAATTACTATTATCATCAATGTTTACTAATTATAAAATGATTTTTATAATTGGGAGCGGCCATTTATTAATGAAAGAAAAGAAACATAACCTTCAGTCAAAGCTTTATTAATTTATTAAGAGAAAACATAGGCTTGTCTTTCCTTTTTGTTTGAATCCAAATAGAGCATACTTGGCTGCACATGCATTCACACACTGGGAAACATAGGTGGCTTATGTCTCGATTGTGAACTATCTCATCTAAAAGTTAATAGAAGTTGTACTTTTATTTTAATTTAGTTTTTAACACGATCAGTTGTACATGCCATGTTTCAGTTTCCAGAAATAGGCATCGGAAATCTGGATCCATGTCTATTCTAAGCATATTGAACTACTTTATCCCAAAGTTGAAAGCGACATTTTCATTTATTTAAACTTAGTCTTCAACATTAGCAAGCTGACGATTAGATCTGCGCACAGGTTACCCTTTCCATAGGAGTAGCATGCTTGAAATTCCAGTCCTAGAGACTTTGGGGGCAGTTGATCGCGCCATCAACTTCCCAGTCCATAACCAACTCACAGTCGTGAATGGCACAGTGGACAACATGGCTGTCGAAAGCAAATACTTTGGCAAGAGGTTTAGTTTCCGGCAGTCTTCTTCCTTTTCGTGGATTATTGATCCTAGAAGAATTCTTATCTTCTTCGCAACCCTGTAAGTTTTACCTATTCTTTCAACGAATTAGTTATATATATTTGTTCGGTAAAGTTACTAGTTTCCATCGTCGGTCCAACAGAGTGAATTCGTCCTTAATAGATTACTTACTTGAATTAAACTATTTGTACTTGTTGACTTACACTTTGGTTTACCCGACCCCACTCTCCTTGTGAGATGAGGAGGTGGGGTCGAGTAACTCAAAATGTAAAATAGCATGACCCTTACTTTTATTTGCTAGGGATGGACAAGTGTTGTCCTTTTTTAAAATGGAATACCCAAACATGGACCTATAAAGCACATAGAAAACCAATGGTTGTGGCTGGCCACTAAATCATAAGCAAGAAGTTTTTTGTACGGTGCACAGAATTAAGGGGGAAACCAACTGGAAAAGTGGTGGACTCGCAAGCATTAAACGCAAGCATCGAATTAAAAAGAAAAGACCTAATTCGATACTTCATCAGAGACCTTATACCATGTAGTATTTTTATAAATGAGCAATGACAAAACTTAAACTCAAAACTTTATTTATTCTAATACCAACATAAAACACCTCATGTAAAAACTTAAAGTGTTCATGAAATTACACATTTATTTATTAAATATAGTCACCAAGTCGCAAAACTATTTACCATGATTAGTTCGTTAAATTAGACAAGACTAGACATGACATGACAATTTATTGTTAATCTTCGTTTATTAACTGATCGCCATTACAGGTCGAGCCTGGGAACTATACTACTAATCTATCTCACCTTGTCTATGAGCAAGCTCAATGCGGAATAGATTGCTCTGAATTGATGATCCCCCACCTTTTTTGATATAAAGAGAGTTGTTGAACATGATTTTGCTTAAAATTAATAGTTATGAGTAATTTTCTGCTTATGATGAATGGGAGACTAGCAGGAAGAAACAAAGTAGAGAAGCTGAAAAGTTGAGACAGAAAGGAATAAAAAACTGGCCTTTCATCAAATTCAGCAGATATTCACTTTTTTGAAGGGCCGACCATTATCAATGGCGTAATCTTGAAGTGAAGACACAACAGATAGCACTAAGACAAAGCAGGAGAATCTTGTATTTTCTATGATTAGTCGCAACATGATTTGTGTACTTTATTGCGTTGGTTTTGTCTATCTTAGTTATAGGTGTCAAAATGAGTCGAACAGTTTAGACATGATAAACCAGGTCCACTTTTGGCATGACCGACCCGGGTGGCCGGTCAGAAGGACTTCCCGGGGGAAAGCATGTTCACATCTTTTACAACTAATGCAGTCTTCAGTCCTTGAAGCTATGCAATTCATTGATCAAGGTCTCACATACTAATTAATTCCTTGGACTTCTTTCAATTCATCGAGTTTATTGAGATCAGAAGTGAAAGAAAGGTTACATATTTTTAATTTATTTAAAAAAAAAAAAAAAAAAAAAAAAACTAGTATTAAGCAGACCGACCCTGCATAAAATTAATCTTGCATCATTTTCTTTTTTCTTTTTTTGTTCAATACTTCGTGTTTGCAATGTTCTTCTCCATTCCACTTCCAAAATGCACCCTTTTGTATTATGGTGGTTTAACGGAGGTAAGACAGAGGAATTAGAAGAGATGTATTTGTGCATGTACTATTCAAGAAATTATTTTAAAATATATTTCAATTGGTATCAGGATTCAACTTCAGTTTCTAAGTCAACAGAAAGAATAAACTGTAAGATGGACTCAACTCTCCCAAAGTGCTGTGAATGGGCTCAAACTCTCTCAAAGTGGACAATACATAAGTTAGTACTTTGGCGCGCAAGGTCTAAATTGTTACAATAGCTTGTAGACTTTTCCTCTCTTTCACCAATACTTTCTCAAAATTCATGCCACAGAATGCATATCAGCATATATGTGCTAAAAATATTACATCCCTAAATTCTAATTAGAATTTTTTATAATTTTTTCCATGGCAAGTCATATCAAATGGTGTAGAAAATAGGATTAAATTAGTTGTACATTGAATGACCTGGTGGTTGACATTACCTCCTATGTAAAAGAAATCTGTGTAGTGATGTGTTAATGTGCTCAAAATCAAGAGTGCAGATCTTGTTGGATAATTGCCTCAAAAGTCAAAAGTTAGAGGACTTCTATTGCAAATAATAAAAAATTAGTTATTGTATGGAAGATTTCTAATTTAAGTTGAGAGCACAATCTTTGCAAAATTTGGTCTTCAACTTATAGCCGGTTTTGGAATCTTGCACATAAGGAATCCTTGTTGAGTTAAATAAGATTTGTTTGAGTTTAAATTAAACTCTTCTACTTGGTTATTGATCCTATATATAGTGGATGTATTTCATTATTTGTGGTGTGGCCAGAGAGATAATTGAAAAAAAATATTGTGAGCCTAGTATCTTGAGACTTTTTGTACAAAGGGTGGAAAAGTAGGTTTGGTAAAACTCGGGTTTATTTTTTTTCTTTGTAATATTGGGGGATTGGGTTGGTGAGTGAAATTTTATATGATTGTAACAATTTTTCATATAGTGAAAAGTTTTGACGGTTCGTTAATTTGTGCATTATATTTTTTATTTTTCTTATTTGCTAATATTCTTTTGAAGAACAAAAAGATCCTGTGGGTAAATAAAAACAAGGGAAATTGGCGTAAAATTTCCTAACAAGTGGTATCAAAGCGTCAGGTGGTTCGGAGTATTGGAGCAACGAAAAAAATATGTTGTCGTTAAAATATGACGTAGAGAAATTTGACGGGAGAATCAATTTTGGATTGTGGCAAATACAATTTAGGGATTTATTGATTCAAACTGGACTGCACAAGGCTTTGAAAGGAAAACCAACCAAGAGTTCTAGCAAAGAAGTTGAATCTAGTATGAGCGATGAGGATTGGGAAGAATTGGATTTGAAAGCTGTAAGCATGATACGTCTCTCTCTGACTAAAAACGTTCTTGAAAATATTAATGGAATATCTACGAAATATCCACTGCAAAGGAACTACGGGAGAAGTTAGAAAAACTATATCAAACAAAGAGCCTTTCAAATTGATTGTACCTGAAGGAGCAATTTCATTCATTACTTATCGAGGCAGGTACGAAAATCTCAAACCATCTGAGTGTTCTCAACAAAATTGTTTTAGAACTGGAGGCTATTGGAGTGAAGATAGATGAAGTGGATAAGGCACTACAGTTCATCTGGTCTCTTCCATCTACCTAAGAACATGTCAAGCCAATCTTGATGTATGGGAAGGAAACTGTGAGTTTCGCAGAAGTGACAAGCAACTTGATCTCAGAAGAAAGAAGATTAGGGCGACAGAATACTCCATCTAACAATGTAGCACTTGCGGTTGAAAGGGGAAAGAACGGCAACTCTATGAGAAAGAAAGTAACTTGTTGGAACTACGGTCAAATTGGTCACGCGAAGAGAAATTGTCCAAAAGGTATAGTAGGGTCGGCTAACTGCTTGGGGTCAGACAATACGTCTCTCCTGGCGGAGAAGGATGCGAATGTGGTGCTATAAAGTAAGATGGGAACATCCTCACGGCATGTTGCCAGTTGCCATGATAGAGGACGTGTTCTTACTGGCGCGGATCAGCATATCTACACATAACATTGACTGACATTTGATGCAAGGTGTGTAGGTATGTGATGGTGTTGTGATGTCGATAGCTAATGAGCTCTCTGGAAAAGTCAGTTAGAGAATTGCACCATAACTATTAGCAGGGTTGTTTCGACATGTAGCCGATGAAAAGCTAGGAGTTCGCGAATAATTCTGAGTGGTTATACTCATATGGTGGAGTATGGGATCGTTAAAGTGTGTCAAAGGCTTTCTTGTTTTTTCTAAGTATTGTGATTAAAAGTTGTAGAAGAGATGATAAGATTTTGACTCGTTTTTCAGCAAGGTAGAGATTGTTGGGTACATTACAACAGAATTCACTTTTTACGACGTGCATTGCACGCCATAAAAGGTAATTTACGACGTGCGAGCGCAAGCCATATAAAGCTATGTTGTAAAAATCTTAACTTTTTATGGCGTGCTATGCACACTGTTAGAGAATGTCGTTAAAAGTCTATAACTTTTTACGGCAAGCTATAGCTCGTTGTAAAAGGTCAGTGTATACCTTTTAATGGCTTGCTACTGCTTGCCGTTAAAAGCCCATTTTTTTACGGTGTGTGCCAACACACCGCAAATGCTATTATTTTCACCTTTAACGGCGTGCACGCGCATGCCGTAAATGGATTTTTTTACTTTTAACGACATGCGATTGCATACCTTAAATGTGACCCTGTTAGCTTTTAGCGTGCCTTTTCACGCCGTAAAAGATAATTTAATTTTTAAAAATTCTTTTGTTTATTTGATTACCAGCACCTATAATAATTACACAAATCCAATTCCAACTCAACTAAAATGAAAATTAAATATTTTTTAGCACTAGCCCATGATAAACAACATTAAACTAATTAATTTATCTAAGTTTAAAGATGAAAAAATTAACACAAACATTTATCATATATAAATAAAATGTAACAAATACTTTATTTCCTCAACCAACAGATATAAATTCCACAAATGACAAGCCTAACTATAACTAATTGCTTCTCAACCAACAGACATAAGTTCAATCAACACTAATAAGTTATTTTACAAACAAAATAATGCTTTCCAACCACATGAGTACGGAGCTAGATCTGGGTGAGACTTCAACAATGCACATTTGTAATCTACTTGTACCTGAAATTTCATCAAATGTCAGTGATCAAGTTCCACTAAATGGTAATCAATGCCCAGTTAAAAGTGTTGGACCCACAGAAGCAAGAATGTTAGGAGGACCTAAATTGTAAAATATTTGCATAATGAATTGTCAAATTAAAATAGAAAAGAAGTTAAGCATACCTTCATTTTGATTGTAGCGAATCCACTTTGATGTACCAAATTGGCCATGCTATTGTACTTCCTAATGCATTTTCAAGAAGAAAAAGCTCACATGTAGGACGATATAAGCTAACATTATCAATCACTTTATTAACCCAAACTCTCCAACATTCATTACCAAGTGGTACCAAATCACTTGGATTTGTTGATGTGATTTCACCTTTTACAACAACATCAGCTTTCCCAAACCAAAATAACATTTTGCATTTCCTATTTTGACAGTTATTTGAACCTTTCAAGCTTCCATCTCTAGGCTGTAAAATTCATATCCAATTGTACAATTTATTATTTTAAATATAGAAATTATATGTTAGTTAGAATAACGTTCAATAATTCTATTTTTCACTTATATTATCTTCTTGTTCAGCATTCTTACTCTTCATTTGAAATAAAGTTTTTAATTCTTTAATTTCATTTCTTAACTCTTGGACTTGAGTTTGCCAGTTATGATTGTGCACCAAAGCACTCAACTTTAAGGACTCAAAGTCTTTAACTTTCCTTCAGAAATCGGACGTCCTTCAATAATTGTTTCATTCTCAAAATCTTCATTCCGAGTATGTCGAACACCTACATTAGCAGCTTGTTTCATGTAACCACTACAAAAATGCATACATTCATCGGCTAAATAATGCTCTGCTATACAGCCCTCAGGTCTTGAACGATTTCTAACATATCCTTTAAGTGTTTTCATAAACATAATGAATCATATAATAGGCATTAGATATCTAAGTAATTAAAAGAAGAAAGTTTGAATACTTACAAAAGTATAACAGTAATTTACATCTCAAATGAATACATCCAACGATATTGTATAGGTCCACCAATACGAACCTCACACCCAAGGTGGATGGTTAAATGAATCATTATGTCAAAAAAGGATGGGGGAAAATACATTTCTAGCATACACAAAGTCACAGCAACATCCTCCTCAAGTTTTTCTAATTTATTTTTATCAACGACTTTTTGACATATTTTGTTGAAAAATGCACATAGTTGAAAAAATGCATTTCTTGGTCCTCTAGGTAAAAGTCCTCTTAATGCAACTGATAGCAATTGTTGTATGAGCACATGGCAATCATGAGACTTTAGATTTTAAATCCTATTATCTTCTAATGATACACAATTTAAATTGTTAGAACTATAACCATAAGGTAATCTTAAATCAAATAGCCTCTTACAAAATAACTCTCTCTCTTTTTTGGATAGCATATATGATGCTGTAGGGAGGTAATATATATTTCCTCTCAATTCTGGATGAAGCTCCTTTCTAATACCCATATTGAGTAAATCCTTACGGGAATTTAACTCATCTTTTGATTTTCCCTTCACATGCAAAATGTTGCCAAGAATGCTTTCGCAAATGTTCTTTTCAATGTGCATTACATCCAAATTATGGCG